AATTTTCTCTTTTTAATTCTCTCAGCTCTGTCTGTCGGTCTCATATTTTGCCTTCAACCTATATGAAATCAATCAATAACTAGTATTCATGACGGAGTCACATTTTGAAGAATCGAAAAAACAACCTAACGAGACACTTATTTTTTTGAATTTCAACCACATTCTGACAGTAGTCTTCTTCTTTTGTCTTCTCAAATGAAAAAAAAACTTTTTTTGTCTCATTTCAGTTGTTATCAGAATGTCTTCTCAGAACAACACTCAGAACGATTCCGATAATGAGGAATGTCAGACATATCGAGTTCCAGATCAGAAGAGTATCCAAGAAATTTTGAAAATCGATAACGTAAGGCTTTTCATTCATTTTCTATATGGAAGTAAGAGATAACATTTAGGAAGATGAATCTCTCATGAAATATAAGAACAGACTTCTTGGTTCAGCCGTTCCTCCTGCCTTATTCCCAGATGATGAAAGGAATGTCATATTCGAAAGGTTATCCTTGACTGTCACAGGAAAGGAACCAAGCTATCTCTGTCTCAAGAACCCAAGTATGTCTTATTCATTTTTCATAAATACTTTTGAATTGAAGAGAAGCTGAGTGACGTCACATTGAAACTTCATCAAGCTGATCAATTCAAAATCGGCTTTGAATTCTATGTACAGAGGGAGATAGTATCGGGTCTCAAGTAAATCAAAAAGATATATAAAGAGAATTAGATGTTTCTTGTAGATATGTTTTCAAAATGAAGAAACTTGGCATCAAACTGCACAAAGATTCTGTGATGATCGGTTCATATGCTCCAAACTCTGAGAAAATTGTGTATCAAGGAAGTGTTGAGGAATGTCCAAAAAGTAAGTTTCAACTTGAATACAAAGGATTTCTATGAATGTTTCTTTCAGCTGGGGTGATTAGTATGGGCAAATTTGTGATAAAATCACAGATTGTTGATGATTATGGAAAGGTTTACCTTGAATTCAGTTGGAATCTTGATATTCAGAAGTAATTCATCCATTCATATCTCTTCTTGTATATTCCATTATCGTTTATTTGCTTTTCGTATTTCTGTCAAATGAATATTTTTTTATATTCCGATGTTTTTTTCTCATTTTATTGTTTCATGCAATCGAGATTATCTGCAAATCCTTCTCTTTATTCATAATGACATTTTCAGTAAACTGAACAACTTATACAGCATAGGAATCCAAAAGGTTGGTCACAATTTGCTTTGTTTTAGAGAAATAACTCTTAATGGAAGGATTTACAAAATATTTTTTTCAGACTAAACTAAAAAGATCTTTAAGTAAGTTTCAACTCTTCAAATCATTCGTAATTGAAGTTTTCCAATTGATCAAATACTTTTTCAGTCATTCTCAAATAGGATTTGGAGTTGAAACTAAAAATAAAAAGAAGATCTTTCGATACATATTGGGAGAGTAAATAGTCCTCTATATATAGGTGATTAAATATGGTTTTTTTTTTGGTGAAGATTGTGAATGAACTCGGCTTTTTTAAAAGATAATCGGGAACTAGATAAGAGATCGTTTTGAGAGACTAGGGCAGTCAGAAAATGGTTTCAGAAAAACATTATAAGTTTTCAATTTTTTCTCAAAAGATGAATAGTTTTGTTCTGATAGTATGCCCATTGACTGACCTATAGTTATATTATTTTATAATAGTTAAGTTCTAATATAGTATCTGTCCCTTTGCTGGGATAATGAGATAAGGCTATATTTGAAGATAAGAGAGTTTGTTTAGAATTTAGATAACAACTAAATAGATTTGATGGGATTTTTCTAAATTTAATATTCTAAAAGAATATAAGTCTTAACGCCAGTTACAGTTCATTTTCATTCTTCCATTTCCTCTTCGGGAAACGAGATGTCGTATAGATAGTCCAAGTTATTTCGGAATCTTTCAATGTTGAACTGAAAAATGAGTTTTCAATTTTTGTGATATTTTTTTGAAATTACCTTATTCCTTTCCAGATAATCGGAAACTTCAATTCCATTCGCGGCACCTCCGTTCATCATCCCTTCCATAAGATGATCTTGGTAAGTGCTCAAGAGGTTCAACAAGGCACATATTGTTAACTTCTTGTTGAAAGTTTCTTTTAGATCAGTACGAGTACAGAGTAACTCGACATCCAACACTTTGAGGTTAGGATCCGCAAGTTGATCTTCTTTAAGTATACATCGGAATAAGTTTCTTTCTCTCATAGTCAAGAAAAGTGGGCCTGTAGGATAGTCTTCCGGAAATCCACATGACAAAAATCCCAAGTCCAATATGTTTTGTACGTGATAACCAAGCTTTTCGGTATAGTCTGTGCCACGACGATCTAAATCTTTCATGTACTCTATAAAAGGTTTGTCTATGAAAGATTTCTCAAGTTTCTCGTTTCGGAAGGTGAATTGAATCAGCTGCTCTCTGAACGTCTTTTTCAGCCTAAAATTGAGTTGGTTAAACAGTGGAACCCTATCAACCTACTTTTCTTGTTGATTCATGAAATGATAACCCAGAGTTTTCGTATAGAGATGCAACTCAGCAGCAGTGGGTATCTTTTTCGCAGGTTTTTCATCAAGAGGTGTATTCTCTGCTTGAGCAACAGGGCTCAAAGGTCCAAAAAGATTTGTATCTAATTTTTTAGGTCTGGGACAAGTTCTCGCGAGAGCCAAGACCTTTTCAACGAACTCTGCTTTCTTTTTCTTCAGTTCCTGTTCTTCCAAGATTCTTGCGTCTTCTTCATGTGTTCTCATCTGAGTTGAGTGTTTACACATCCTTTTTTTCATGATAAACTCAGAACATTCGAGTGAAGTTAACTCTCGCTTCACCCGATCCTGGTCAGAATGGTGATTGGCGATTCGACGACTTTTAATTCTGTGACCATTTTCTTTAGTGGTACGCGAGTGATTAGCCTTCAATATAATCCTTGGCAAGCTTGGTTTTACAACGATGTCGTCGAGCTCCATTGGAACTATTTCGTGTTTCATACGTGGAACAGGACTTATATCTCCTGATTTCACTGCTCGTGAAGTAGGTGATGGTACTTTACACATATAATGAGCAAATCTAGCAGCAGTTACACCAATACAATGATTTCTGTTATACCATGTTTCAAGATAGCGAGTGTATGCAGCATTTATTGTCTCAACAGTTGAACTGTTCTCCTGGTCAGCGGTATCGGCTTCTTTGCTGTGAAACAGCTTGTTTATAACATCACAAATCACAGTTCGCGGTCTTTCTTGTTGACAATCTTCTATAGGTTCGGAAATCTCAGATGCGCCTCCATCCACTACACTTGATTTCCTCGAAACGGATTCATTCAGCGCAATTTCGGGCGGATCATCAACATTTGCAGATTCGCTCATCACGGAATCTTGTACTAATTCTTTTGACTGAGTCGGATGTTTTTGTGGAGAAATATCGATGTTTTCGGGAATATCGAGCGTTTTTCTCACAAGGTAGGGTATTTCATTTTCGATTAGAGACGTGGCAGCAGTAGAGTCTAACAGTTGCATGTCTGGGTCGTTTCTCTGTTGGACGTAATACATGAGTACAAAATGATATAGCCTATGCTTACCCAACACACACAGCTCAACATTTCTGAAACTAACTTTTAGTAAAGCTTCGCAAGTTTCGGAGATAAGCGAGAAGTTGCGATCATCGCATTCTGGGTTAGCACATCGTGCAAACTTCCAATGCATCATCTTCCAGTTCTCCGACATGAGAAGTCTTAAGTGTATGTCTTCAGAGCCGAAAGTTTCAATCAACAATTCGTCATCTGCGTTCCTTATTACGTCACGTTCTTCTTCCATCGGTACATCGCTGTTGTTTTCAGCTGTATTATCGTTATTCCCCATAGTAGGTACGCGAGCTGATGCTGACGTAATGTTCAGATCGAGTGGCTTTAACAGTACTACTGGAATAATCGTGGCGGGTACACATTCTAAGCCTCCCGCAAGTATTTTATAATGTTGGGCGCAATCCAAACAGCGATGACAATGTGTAAGGTAGTTGCAAAAGTTCTTCAAGTTTAGGAAATGTTCACGATAAGTGTGGAAGTAAGCCAACTGTTCCAAAGATAGAGATATTGCCGGATCGTTCAATTTTTTGAAGAAACCGTTTCGAATATAGTGGAAATGAGCAGAGAGGGCAACCGCGTTAAATTGTGGACGGTAACCATAATCATTCATCAAAGCCCAATTCTCATTTTCTCGAATGCTCCATTCGTCATCATTTTCCATACTATCGGCTGGCTCATTGTTTCGCGAAACCTTCTCTCCATTGGCTGTGGTGCCTTGCTTGATAAAGTGCAGCTCCAGAGGTGCGAATACGTTGGAATAATAAGGGCGTTGCATGATTAACGAATAAGATATCAGCTTTCTGTCGTATTTCAGAATAGGACACATGAAATCATTCTGAGTCGCTTGGTAATGTCTCCAATATAGTTGGGAAAACTTAGGAAAGTCCAATGAATAAGTATCAGGTATGAATCTCCTATATTTGCGTGAAGTTATGTTGGTAGCATTGTGTAATGTTAAAAGACTTAGTTTCGGGATATTTAGTAGATGGAACGTTCGCCATAGGGACCAATCATCTTGTGGAATATCGAACGGATATTCACAAGTGAAGTGATAAGACTGACCAGGATTAGAACATTGGAAGTGTGGCAATCCATCTGGATTTACGAACGGATTTTGTGAAAGGTTTTCTGCATGATTACGGGATAAAAGGTTGGCTAAGTTTTGCTTGAAAGTGTCTGAGTTCTCGTGCTTAAGAGAGATACGGGTATTTCTCCAATACGTGCCTATGCTAACGGGTGGAATTAAGCGCTGGGTTGGAGAGTGAGTAATGCCTGCGTATTTTTCAAGGAAATCGTTAACCTTAATTCGCCTGAAATCGGCAGCTGAGTACTGATTTGTTGAATAAAAATGAGCTGCTGCGTGTTGAGCGTAATAGAGAGAAAAGTTCTGCTCTAAGCTAGCAATCAAAAACTGGTCAACGGAAACAGTCGGAAACTTGGCTAAGCTAGCAGTTGGAAGGTGGTTTAAGCTAACAGTCGGAAACTGCACGAAGTTATCAGTCAGAATCAGGCCTGACCGTGGGATTCGAAACTGAGCAAGGAAGTCTGCATAATTTTGAATAAAATCGTTGACAATATTTTTCCTAAGGTTGGCAGCAGAGTTCTGGTTGGCTGGAGCAACATGGGCTGCATTGATAGCTGGGCTCTCAGCCGAGGTAGCAGTCAGAATCTGGTCTAAGTTAGCTGTCAGAATCTGATCAAGGTCTCTTTCAAAGTTCTGGATATTATCGTTGAACGCATTTTCCCCAACTGGTGAGTGTTGGTTTGCTGAAGCAGTATGGGCTTCTGCGTGTTGAGTTAAGTTAACAGCTGGGCTTCCAGCCGAGGTAGCAGTCTGAGTCTGGCCTGAGATAGATGTCGGAATCTGGCCTAGGCTAGCAGTAAGAATCTGATCAAGGTCTCTTTCGAAGTTCTGAATATTATCGTTGCTCTGGTTTGTTGGAGCAGTATGGATAGGACAGTGTGATGCGTGTTGAGTTAAATTAAAAGCTGGGCTCTCAGCCAAGTTAACAGTCATAAATTGGCTTAAGCTAGCCATTGAAGACTGAGCAAGGTGGTCTACATGATTTTGCACAAAATCGTTGACAATATTTGTCCAAAGGTTGGCAACTGAATTCTGGTTGGTTGGAGCAGAGTGGGCTGCTGCGTGATGAGCGAAATTGAAAGCTGGGCTCTCAGCCGAGGTAGCAGTCAGAATCGAGCCTGAGGGAGATGACGCAATATGGCCTAGGCTAGCAGTAGGAATCTGATCTAAGCTAGCAGTGGAATTCTGACCTGGCCTAGCCGTTGGAAACTGAGCGAGGTGATCTACATAGTTTTGAACAAAACCGTTGACAATATTTTTCCAAAGGTTGGCTGATGAGTTCTCATTGGTTGGAGCAGAATGGGCAGCTTGTTGATATGCCATGTTGATAACTGGGCTT